TTATTTTGATATATCACAGTGAAAGATTTATCGTCCTCTTTTTTTTTTTTTTTTTTTTCCTTAAAAAAAAAAAAAAAAAAAAAAAAAAAAAAGGTGGCGGGGGGGCGCTTTTGGGCCAGAAAGGACTCTCACTTAGAATGGCCATTATGAGCTGAGCATCTCGTTCTTCACAAGCAACTGACAAAGGTGTTGCTATGCCCAGTTAAGAGCTGCTGATGTTGATGCTCAGAGAGGTTATGCACCTTGCCAGAGATCACACAGCTCAGAAATAATGGAAATAGGAGACTGGTGCTATAGATATGACCTTAAAGCTTATGACCTTAACCTCTTCATATGACCCTGTCTTATATGGTGTCTACCCCATGCAGAAGTCTCAGCAACCCACAGCTCATGGCCCACCAGAATTGGTGACAGGGTCCTGGAAAAACACTGCATGCTCCAGTTCAGCTCCTTTCTGTACCTACTCTGTCTGATTGGTGGCGTGGTTTGTGTGACCCTGTCCTTACAGGTACTCAAGAAGATATGACATGGTCCTAGAAAGCCAGTCCTGTGCCCTCCAATTAACTAAATCCAAATTACTGTAATTATAAATCCAATATAAACCTAGATCAAACAAAAAGAGTGTTCTGGTCTAGAGTCATATCTGTGGCCTTTATTATTAAATCAGAATTGCCAGAAATTCACAGACTCCTTGATCTATAGATAAGAAAATAATAGTAGGTACAAGCAAGAACTTCTCATGTGAGATTGTTTTCAGTCCAGTGGTGAGAGAAGAATTTCTTTCTGGAAGAGATGTCTCCTTTCAATGTGCAGCTCAGGCAGGGATTGAACAAGCCTCTACCTGGCCATGGCAACTGAAAGCTGGTCCCCACACTGCCACTGCACACACAGCTTTTGCTCTATCTACTGTCCTCGGTGACCCTGCTTCCTTTGGCATCCAGCCCGACCCCGGTTCTGAGGACTAGGCCAGGTGCTGACAGGCGTGGAGCAGGGGTATCAGGGTGTGCTCACCCAGAGATTTCTGAGTGCAGGAGGCGAAGCCTTTGCATTCAATCAGGGATTACAGATCCTGAGGCTTTTGTCACTGTCAGCCTCAACCTGAGACACGGTGTGGGAAAGTGCCCTGCCCTCCCCGGTCGGATGGGTGCCCCGGCCATGCTCAGTCAACCAACCTCAACCACCCCATGGCCTGAGTCACTATGAGGGAGCCAGAGGCAACAAGGGGATCAGAGATCCTTCAGAGAAGAGGTCAGCCCTTCAGGAGGAGGCTGGAGGGCCGTGCACTTCCAGCCCAGGCCAGAAAAAGCCATGGATCAGTTAGCTCAGTCCTCCTGTCCCAGGAGTGTGATAGCAGGAGTTGTAGCTTGGATTCCTGTCCCTGGCATGTGCCAGCAGGGCTCTCAACACTTCCCACTGCCAAAGCACTCCTGCTGCATGCTCACAGGCAGCAGGAACCGGAGGGAGGCTGTGCTGCACCAGTCCTGTTCCTGCAGCTGGCCTGCCCTCCAGACCCCATGAAGCCCTGAGCTAGGAATGCCTGTAGGTACCAGGCTCCTGGTCTGTGGCATCAACTCTGAGTTTGATGACAAGCTGAGTAAAACTACATGGTTGGATTTCACTTTGAAGGGGTTGTTTTTGACTCTACCATTAACTCACTATGGCTTTTAGACAAACGTGTTCCCTCCACAGCCTCTCATAGACAAAAAAAAAAAAAAAAAAAAAAAAAAAAAAAAAAAAAAAAAAAAACTTTAGACTGGTTTGTCTACCAATTTCTTTTTCTCTATGGGTGGCATGATCCAGTGGGGAGCTTGGGCTCTGGGGTCAGATTTTTTTTGTTTCTACACTCAGTTCTGCGGCCCTAGAAAAGTTACTTAACCACTCGGAGCCTTATTTCCTCATCTGCCTAACAGGGTTGGTAACATGCTAGATCACAGACTGTTGGGGAGATTGAGTCAGTCTGATGTTTAACAGCACACTGCAACCAGAAAATCCCATCACCTGAACTATCACCCCTAAGAGTGTACATGCAGAGCCCCTGGGAGAAGAAGTTCCACCGGCGGGGGTGGGGGGGACGTGACACGATACTTTTTGCCAAGTCAAAGAGCTGTGTCCCCTGGCTGGGAAATAGAATTTGGTTCAGAATCCCTCTGTCTGTGTCCCCAGCCTTGGCACCAGCCTGCCTAGTTCCTCTGGGGAGTGCAACGGAGAGCTTCCTGCCAGGAGTGACCAACAGCATCCAGGCAGGAGGGAAGGATCTGACTCAGCACAGCCTGCTGGCAGGATTGAATGTAAAAATAAATAGTTGGGCATCCGCCAAGTGGACCAGTTGCATGTTAGTGAGGAGTAGGGTCCAGGCTGAGGAAAGGAGGTGATCTGGAGACAGGAAGCAGGGCGGGTGAAGGAATCTTCAGTGGAGAGAGGACAGGGCTTAAGGACTCGTGGGTCTCTACCCAGCCACGCAGCTGTAGGCATGTGAGTTAACTCCTGAGATTCTCTATTGCCTAAACTAGAAAACGGGAAGTCATGTAATGTGCCCCCTACTGAATTCTGGAGCAAATTAATGTATTTTTAAAATTTAAAGTACACAGTCCAGCAAAATGTGAGCTTGTATTGGTGTAGGAACTGGAAGAGAAACCACCTGAGGCCTGAACAGAGAATCCAGAGGTCAAAGGAAGGAGCAAAGGAGGTTGAATGAGGGCTCCCTAAACCAGATGTCTTCCACATGCTCCTTCACAGCCCTGCTTTTTTCAAAGGAAGAAACTAGACTCAGAGAGGTTCAGGAATTTGTCCAAGGTCACCCAGCTAGCAAGTGGAAAATGTGAGATTTAAATCAAAGTTTGCCTGGTTCTGAAGGCATGACTTCTGCCTTGAACAAATCATGCCATCACTGCCCCTACCCTGATGCCATGAAGGACAGGTCAGGCACCCAATACCAGTAGGGTCATAGTCACACAGCAGCTGGGTCCAGCCTTGGGCAACTTGCAGCTCCCTCTGATCCTCAGGCAAACCAAGATTTGCAGGAGTGTAGCTAATGCACCTGAGCAGGTCCCTGGGACACAATGGGATCCTCAGGCAAACCAAGATTTGCAGGAGTGTAGCTAATGCACCTGAGCAGGCACAGTCCCTGGGACACAATGGCCAAGTGCTGCCCAGTTGACACATTCCATGCCCAGGAAGACAGATCAGAGCCATGGGCAGCTTGCTGTAGTTGCTGTTTATTGAGACACATCAAAGGCACAGACAGGGCACAAGGATACTAGGTGACTAAGGGGGTCTAGTGAGGGACTGGGATGTTGGAGGCCTCTAGGAACCACTCTTGACTCCCCTCTCTCCTCCTCCAACCTGTCCTGGACTCAGAGCAGATAGATTGAAGTGAGAGGGGCAGAGATACCCTAGGACATCCTGCCTCCTCTAAATGGTCAGCCTACTCCCAAGTCACCCTGGTTAGCTGGTGACCCTAACTTCCCTCTCATCCCACTTTATAACCAAGGAGAAACCCTGGGTAGATTTGGGCCCTTTCCCAAGTGTAAATCGTATGTAAACTGTGCACTATGAGTACTCAACATCTGTGCTCCCCCCGGCTCATGCTCCTGAGAAGGAGCGGCCAGTGCAAGGACCACGCCCATCTTCAGGGCTCTACCGCTAGAATCTACCGCTGGAGGTCTTCACCTTGGTGGTCTTCCGCAGGATGGAGGTTCCCCCAGAGACGGGCCCACCCTTGGCAGTACCGTAGCTCACGCTGGTACCGAAGCCACCCTTGCCGGCCCCGCCACCCGCGCCCAAGGAGAAGCCGCCTGCGAAGCCAGCCGTGCCACCTGCGCACACCGTAGTGGAGTTGCCGGTCACAGCTGCGAGGCAAAGGCTCGGGTTAGGCAGGTTGCCTAGCAGGAAAGGGCTGGGGGCTTCCAGAAACCCGCGAGGAGCTGGAGGAGGGCAGCGCGGCAGGCTGCGGCATGCTGTGGACCCCACTGACTCCTGGCTAGAGGCTGCTTCAGGACAAGGACCGCAGAGGGACAAGGACCTTACAGTGAACTTGCGGGCCGCTAGCAGAGATGGGACTTGGGCGGGGCATGGGCGGGAACGGGCGGGACAGGGCGGGAGTTGGATACTCACAGATGCTGACTGTGCTGGGACACTCTCCAGACATCCTAGGGGAAACAAAGGCCAGGATCCGGTCAGTGGTTTGGAAGCCCAGGTGAAAACCCTCTCCCTCCCTCAGCTTCTGCATGCAACCAGCTCGGTGCCAGGGCCTGGTGATAAGGCCAGAAGTAGAGGCATGTGGCAATCCAGGACTGGAGGCTTCCCAGCAGAGCCTAAAGTCAGCACTGCAGAGGGGCACTGCAGCCTCTTTTACCCCTCTCCCCTCCCTGTAGGGACAACAACATCCAGATCTCCCTAAGGAAAAAGTCCATGAAGAAACAGAGCCCCCCTGTGTACCACCGCCTCAGTGCCTCCTGCCATGCCCCACCAGTATACGATGAAGCTTCTGAGTAGTGGAACCTAGCATGACCCAGCAAGCCTTGGGGGGGTTGGGGGAGAACCTGCTCTCCTCGCTCTCCAGCAGCTTGCGGTAGGTGGCAATCTCCACATCCAGGGCCAGCTTGACGCTCATGAGTGCCTGGTAGTCTCGCAGCAGCCGTGCCAGGTCCTCCTTGGCCTGGTGCAGCGCTGTATCTAGATCACCAAGTTTCTTCTTAGCATCCTTGAGCGCCATCTCACCGTGCTGCTCCGCTTCCGAGATGGCAGCCTGAAGCTGCTGGCACTGCACGGGAAAGAAAGGTGGCTGAGAGCCCCTCTGAGGCCATCCCATTCATCTCTTTACCCTCTAGCCAGGAACCACCACCACCCCATGCCCTCCTCAACTGAGGTCTAAAAGAGAATCAGAGAATCGCCAGGGAAGTCCTTACAGAAGTCTAACCTCAATCCCTCCTGCAACTCAGCCAGGGCTTTGGAAGAAGTGAAAGAAATAACATAACCTTACTACTAGCCAGGTGTTCCATTCTAGACAGAAGTCACACTGTTTGGCCATACCCTAGATGAGATCTGTGAAGTGGGTCCTGGAACCTTCTGCCTCTAGCTCTGACCTCTAGGAAATGGGATTGACTTAGCCATTTGAAGGTCATCCTACCTGCTCTGTCACATATATGCTGTGTGAACTTGGGCAAGCCCCTTCCCCTATCTGAACCTCAGTTCTTCTCCTGGGAGCTCCTTCCCAAAAGGAACAGGTAGACCCTGATAGCCTGGTCTTTGCATTTCCCAGGATGACCCCACAGCCCACCTGCTTCCTGGCCGCATCCACCTCTCCCTGCAGCCTCTGGATGGTGCGGTTAAGTTCCGAAATCTCATTCTTGGTGTCTCGCAGGCTGTCCCCATGCTTTCCAGCCGTCACCTGCAGCTCCTCATACTAGAGGCCAAAAAATGACAATGAGTATCAGACAGCCCCAGGTGGCTGGTTAACTGCTGGCCCCAGAGCCCACCTTCTCTGCTGGAGGCCCCGTGGGAGCTGAGTATATCAGGTCTCAGGGCTCCAAGGGTCCCAGTGGGTCAAGCCTCTCCAGCAGAGGAGGTCCAACCCCAGCCTGCACACCCAAGCCAGCTCTCTGCTCACCTTGCTCTGGTACCAGGACTCAGCCTCAGCCCGGCTTTTCTGGGCAATCAGCTCATACTGGGCTTTGACCTCAGCAATGATGCTGTCCAGGTCCAGGGAGCGGTTGTTGTCCATGGACAGCACCACATTGGTGTCAGACACATGAGTCTGCACTTGGCTCAGCTCCTGAAGAAACAGAAGCAGCTACCACCAACACCCTACCCCAACGCCCTGGGCAGAAGCTAGAATGGAGAACAGGGCCCCTGCATGGCCTCAGTGGAGCATGTAGGCTTCCCCAGGCCCCACCCTAGAAAGAAGCTAGCATTAGGAGACACTGCCTGATGTGAAACAGGTGCCCCCATCTGTGGATCCCCAGGCTTCCTGCAGGGGGGAGAAAGGGAGCATGCCTTCCTTCCCTGTGCCATCCTGGCTCTGTGCCAGCACATTCACCGTGATCCTCACATTCCCTGGAAGACAGACCTCTCACAGCTGGCCTGAAGGGTATTTCTGTGCCCCCAGATGAGGAGGTCTGTCTAGAGCCTCCTGCACACCATCCCACTATGACAAGTCTCCTTGTGCCCTCAGTGCTCCTCAGGACTCACTCCTGAGCCTCCCTGATGGGCAGAGTGTCTTCCCTCCAAAAGACAACATCTACTGGGTATGGTGGCTCCCACCTGTAATCCCAGCACCCAGGAGTCAGAGGCAGAAGAATGGCTGTAATCTAAACTACATAGTAAGTTCCAGACCAGCCTGGGCGATAGTAGAAGACTGTCTTGGGAGGAAAAAAAAAAAAAAAAGCATTTGTTGTCTTATTTTGTCCCTTGTGTCTCTTGCATATAGTTCAAGGGACTACGACAGAGAGAAAATGACATGGCGTTCTCTGTTCACACCCTGGCTTGGACACACAGCAGACACAATGAATTAGAATGAATCCAGAACACCCCCTTTATCTACTCCCACAGAGTAGATATTGGCTCATCTCCAATAACGAGAGCCCCGTTTCAACCCTCAGAGCCTGACCTCAGAACTTCAGGTGACTCAGACTAAAAGGGAGAAGAAAAAAGAGAGGACAAGAAAGACAGAGGCAAGCAGAGGTCAAACCATATCCGACTGTCAGCTTGGGACGTTGGCTGTCTTTTAACAGTGGGAGGGCAGGAAAAAAGAATCAATGAAACTCTGGAATAGAAGTGACAACAGTCAGGGAGCAGGCCAACCTCTTTTCACTCCTGGCCTTCTGGGCACCAGCTGGCTAACCAATTGCTGAGCTTCAAAAGCGCCTGAGTTTCCCTCTGTGTCCTCAAAACGTAGGGTGATTGTAAGGCTACAGGTCAGACATGACCATGGTGGATCCTCAGAAAATCCACCCATCTGCCCAGACTCATCTGAAGGTGAAGGGACCTGAAGACCTCCTTGCCCTCTGGGTCATTAGCCAGCATCACCTCTCAGTCAGCCCTCCCCTTCCCCAGCTCAGTCCACTGCAGATCAGGGATCAGAATAAAATCAGCCTAGAACACGTAAGGCGACAGAAACTCCCCACTCAACAGCAGCCTCTGCAGTGAGCTGGTGTCATGCTAGAACAAGGGAGAGACAGATCTGGGTGTTTAATGGAACAGAGCCAGTGAAAACAGATCAGAAAGAGCCCCTCAGCAAGAAAAGTGTGTGTGTCCTCAGACAGAAGGGACCCTGAAGTGGAGAACAGCTGAGGTGTCCAGGCAAAGGTAAAAGAAGCCAGAGAGGAGAAGTGGGGTCACTGAAGGAGCTGGGTCCTTAGACATCCCCCAGACTAGAGGGGAGCCTCAGAAGCTGCTCTACTGCCAGTGAAACACCAGTGAAGGGTGACTGACCCTCCAGGTTTCCTTGAGATCTGACGTAACCAAAATCAGGCCATGGAATTGATTCCTGAGTGCTAGGTTGGCCATCATGACTGGCCCTCCTCTTGCCCCCCAAGGAAGCCTGGTAGGTGAGGAGGCCCTTTGTTGGGGTGCGACCCCTGTGATCCATAGCTACTTACCAACTTTTTCCACATCTTCACCTAATTCTCCTCCCACTTAGTGCCCAACCTGCCAACCTCCTGCTACCCCAGACACTATGCTCTTTGATGATTGTGGCCCAGTCTAGCTTGGCCCTTCCTGCTACTGCTTCCAAAACCCAGCACTTCCTTAAGACCCAGTGCAGATGTTGAGTCTCCTCATAGGGCCCCCTTCTGGCCCCCAAGAAAGCACTTGCCATAGTCTCTTGTGTGCCTCAGCACCTTGAGCCTATCCCAGCAGGGCTCGCCTCACTTGAGAACCTAGCCCCAAGGGCAGGGACTTTGTCTTACTTGTTATGTGGGAGGAACCCCATAAATGCTTGTTAAGTGAGTGAGCTGCAGTAAGGAAAGAGATGCTGGATGAGACAGCCTTGTGCCGAGGAAACCAATCCTGCAACACTGAGAATAGATAACAAAAAAATACTTTTTCAATTTAACAAAAAAGATAAATAAAAAAGCCAAAAGCATATCAGGTCTGCAAAAACACAGAGCAGGACGTCATCACTGATACACTGGGTAGAACGATCCCGTTTTCAAGTGCTCACATGGCATTACTTCCAACAGCATGTCATAGGAAAAGAGGGAAATAGTAACTCCTATGTTGTGTTTCAAAACTTCAACTATGGAGCCAGGAGTGGTGGTGCACACCTTCAATCCCAGCACTGAGGAGGCAGAGGTAGGTAGATCTCTGTGAGTTCAAGGCTAGCCTGGTCTACATTGCAAGTTCCAAGTCAGTTAAGGCTACCTAGTAAGCCCTGGTCTCCTGTACCAAGCTGGAACATGGCCCCTCTGTTTGCTTATCCCTGCTGCTAAACTGAGCAGAGAAAGGACAGCGCTGAGACACCGCTGACTACCTCTGTGCCCGAGGGCCAATTACTTGGAGCCCCTGATCATTGACTCTCAAATGGGGACAATGATAGCGCCTACATTATGGAGTTGCTGAGGATTATATACAAGTTTGACCCAGGACCTAGCCTGTTAAAAGCATTTACTGTGTGGAAAGTAGTATCAGTTAAAGGGGCAGGATCCCTACTTACACCAATTTAGTTACACTGGTGAGTTCAGACCAGATCTCATGGAGACTCTTCAGTGGTATATAAATGTATGCAAATCACCCCATCCATTGACCACCTTACCATCTTAGGATTATATACAAGTTTGACCCAGGACCTAGCCTGTTAAAAGCATTTACTGTGTGGAAAGTAGTATCAGTTAAAGGGGCAGGATCCCTACTTACACCAATTTAGTTACACTGGTGAGTTCAGACCAGATCTCATGGAGACTCTTCAGCGGTATATAAATGTACGCAAATCACCCCATCCATTGACCACCTTACCATCTCATAAAGATGCTGCAGGAACTCAATCTCCTGGGACAAGGACTCCACTTTGCCATGCAGATCCATTCTGCCCATATATGCAGCATCCACATCCTGAGCAAAGGAGAGAGAAAGGCACACAGCTCAGACCCCAGAATCTCAGTTGTCTCCAGGTCCACCCAACACCCTGGTAGCCAAAAGGCCACCTTCCCCAGCTCGGCCACCCTGCTCACCTTCTTGAGTACCACAAACTCATTCTCCAAGGCAGTGCGTTTGTTGATTTCATCCTCGTACCTGTTATACAAGAAAGGCTCAGGTGAGTGCAACCCAATTCTGCCTTTGAGACATTGCACTCACTCAGCTTCCAGGAAGCCCTGATGGGTCCCCCACTGGTCAGGAACAGCTTTAAGGAGCAGTTCTTTAATGCAGCCGACCAAAGAAGAAGCTTGGGGTACGACTTCATTTAAATAGTCCCTCCCTACCCCCTTTGGGGAAAAAAAATGGGGCACAGAATTTGTGCAATACTACAGCATTCTAGGGCAGCCATCTCTCTGGATCAGAGTCTTGGAGGCCCTACAGGGCAAGTTGTACCAATAGTGTTTAACCTCTGTCATTACTTTCAACAACACATCATTTGAAACAACCAACTCCTACCTGCCCACTTCTGTTGAGATTAAGGTTTAGAAACTGCCGATGTTCAGTTGTGGGAAAAGTTGCTTGAAACTATGCCTTAAAATTATAAATACACATATCCACCAGCTACAATATGGGAAGCTTATTTGGAGTTTAATTCAAACAAACTATATTTTCTTAATTTATGGAACAATTCAAAATTCAAAGCTAGGTATTTGATAATGCTGAGGAATTACTGTTTTGAACATTTTAAATATGACTGTGCCATTGTGTTTAAATTTTATTAAGTCAAACCAGGCAGACCAACTACTAAATAAACCTAGGAAAATATTTGTGAATGAAATGACAAGATGACTGGATTTTCCTCAAGACAAGAAGGGAGCGGGTAGGAAAACGGAGGGATGAAATGAGATTGGCTGGACCAAGAATTATTCATGTGAGTGAAGGGAGCATGGGGGTCAGTAGACCATCCCCCTACCTAATAAAAAAGGACTTTCTAAAATTGCAGAGCCAGGTGTGCTGATTCACTCCTCTAATCTCTGCATTTGCGAGACAGAGGCAGAAAGATCTTGGCAGAACATTAAGACCAGCCTGGAATTACATAGTAATTTCTAGGCCAGCCTAAGCTAAGAGCGAATTTCTGTCTCAAAAGACAAAATATAAAAATAAATAAATGAATAAAACCACAAATGTGCCAGTTGGCCAGGTAGCAGCAAGCTCTGGACATGTACCCCAAGGGCCCAAGATCCCCAGGGAGAGTGACTCCCTGAGAATCTTTCCCACAATGTCATGTCCCATCCCACAGGGCAGCCAGTGTATCCCCTTACTTGTTCTTGAAATCCTCAAGGTTGTCCTGCACGCTCCTCAGCTCCAGATCCAGCCTCCCCTGTTCATTGTGCATGGCATCCATCTTCCTTCTCAGGGAGCTCAGGTGAGTCTCAAAGAGAGGCTCCAAATTACTTCTGGCGACCCCCGCTTTCTGACTGTGCTCCTGCAGCAGCGCCCACTTCGTCTCCAGCACCTTGTTTTGCTGTTCCAGGAAACGCACCTGACCCGGGAAAGAAGGATGGGTAGGAGTCATCCCCAGTCACAGGAAGGACTGAGGCTGGGGAGCAATGTCTCGGAGCACCCAGGGCCAGCATCACAGGGGTGGTACAGCATCACCTACACCTCATTGGGGTATGGAAAGGGATCTTAAATGTAAGAACCTCTGCTCAAATGACAGTTCAAACCGATAGAAAGGACTCTAAAGACTTAATAGACATAGAGCCGTGTGCCCACATTATGAGCAGGTCCTGACTATAGCACTTTGCTCTGGGTCTCATTTTTTCAGTTACCCTGGGTAAATTGGACAAAGTCAGTGCTTATGAGACCTAAGTCCGCATCAAAGTTAACTGTTAAAAATATCAGAGAGTGAGAGACACAGAGAGAGAGAAAATAATGTTCAAAATTGCTGAATCCAAATGAGTTGGAAAACTTTATAATCTTTGCAACTTTTTTTAAAAACAAAGTTAGTTTGTTAAAATAAGGGAGAGGGCTCAGCAGGTAGAGGAGCTTGCTGCCAAGCCTGACAGCCTGAGTTGATCCCTGGGACTGGCATGGTCAAAGGAGAGAACTGACTCCTGCAAGCTACCCTCTGACCTCTATATACTCCTTGCAACTTTTCTGTAAATGCCATATTTTTTACAAAAACTAAAAAACAGTTCTTTTTAAATAGCAATCTCTGAGCCCTGCCTCAGTAAACTGAGGGGTGACTCAGATTGTGTATCTAGCAGGTTCCTTGGAAGTTTCTGCCCAGTCAAGGTTCCAAGACACCAGACAGCTCTCTCAGACCCCCAGCTCACCATCAGAGCCTCTGAGCTTGTTTGGCCTCTGGGACAGTTCCATAAAAGAAACAAAAGTCACCAGGGGAGATGGTGAAGAGTGGGAGGGACAGCTTGCATCACCCTTTGCTATTCAGTCCCTCCAGGCCCCACCTCCACAGCATCCCGGGCCCTATCAGTCACATGGCTAGGAGCTCTACAGCAGGTGCCCCTTGGTGCCAAGAACAAAGGAACCTATTCACAGTTTCACCTGCACCTTCAAGTACCTGTGTGATCTTGGGCAAGCCACAGGGCCACCCTACACCTCAGTTTTCACATCTCAAAAATGGAGTCACTTACCCTGACTCTCCATGGAGCCCTGTGGGTAACACATGAGAAAGAAGAACCTCTGTGTCAAAAGCTCAAATTACGGATCCAAGGTGCAGTTGTCTCCAGGCCTTCCTCCATCACCGCTCTGCTGCCTGGGCTCAGGACCAAGCAAAATGGAGCAAGAAATGCCAGAGAGCAGTACCAGAGTCAACTGGGTCACCTTGAAAGTGAGGCAAGGACTCAGGACACTCCCAGAATACAACAGTCAAGTTCCATGGTGGCCACTTTCCTCCCTGTCTCCCCCAAATTGAGCTTCTTGGCTGACCCACAGAGCAGGAGGAGAAGCAACAGGACCTCCTTGCCCCCACCCCTGTGTTCTGATTATATCTTGCCATGAGACTTTTAACCAGCTTAAAGGGACAGACCAGCTTCCAAGGATTCAGCTTTGGATAACTTGTAGGACTCCTAAGCCATAGCTGCCCCCCGCAGCTATAAAAAGACAAAGAGCACTAAAGGCCACCAACCTAACAGGAGCACTGAGGACAACCAAGTTTGAATTGAGATAAAGTGGCTGCAGGACTCCTAAGCCATAGCTGCCCCCCGCAGCTATAAAAAGACAAAGAGCATTAAAGGCCACCAACCTAACAGGAGCACTGAGGACAACCAAGTTTTAATTGAGATAAAGTGGCTGTATAAAAAGAATGATGCCCATGAAAGGCTCCAACACAGTGCAGTGAACTAGGCCCCTTGGCCTCCTGAGGCATGCTAACAGCAAAGATCTCCACCATCAGCTCGCAACCCTAACCCCAGGCCAGCAGAGACACAGTCATCCCACCCCAGTCATCCCACCCGGCCTGCCCAGTGTATATGGCTGGAAGCCGCCTTTGCCAGATCACCTTCCATTAAGCATCCAGCTTCCATGTCAAGGCCCCTCCCCCAGTTCTGCTCACCCACCTTGTCTATGAAGGAGGCAAACTTGTTGTTGAGGGTCTTGATCTGCTCTCGCTCCTGGGTGCGCACCCGCTGGATCTCTGGGTCTATCTCCACGTTGAGGGGTGTCAGCAAGCTCTGGTTGATGGTGACCTCCTGGATCCCCCCGGGAGGACACACTGGCCCAAACGTCTGCCTGCCGGCCCCTAGGCCCACATAAGCCCCACTGCCAAAGCCAAAGCCTCCCAGTGCCCCACCAGAGATGTTCTTTCCCCCCAAGTTATAGAGGCTCCGGCTGCCAAATCCTCCTGAGCTGGGACCACAACGGATCCCACCACTGCCACTGCTCCGGGACATGGTCACCGAGCTGAAGCTGGTGTGTGTCCGACTCCCACCCCCTCCGCCGGCTGAGTTAGAGCTGAAGCCTCCTTTAGTGGAGTAAGTCTGCCGGGACAGAGAAGACCGCATGACTGTCAAGAGAGAGGGCAAGCCAAACAGCTGGGAGCAAGAGGCAGCACGGTGAGCTGCAGAGCCACCAAGGGCCTTTTTATCCTTTCCCATCTAGGCTGGCCCTAGGCTCCACACACTCCTGCTAACAGGTGAGAGGGAGGGAGGGGCTCTGTGAGCCTGGGGGGAGCCCCTCACCCCCAGGAGGGGTCCACCCAGCCATCACCAGGGCTCTAGAGCTAGGCCTGAGCAGAGACTACTCGGGGCAGGAAGCCACCCCCACTCCCATTTACACCCCCTCTGGGCTCTCACTTGGAACAGGATGATAGTGCTCCCACGGCCACCCTCACCACCCAGTGGCTGATTTGGTCTCCTCCCACCCAGCCCTGATGGCCTACTGTCAATGGAGCTCTGTTCTGAGGGGTTTGTCCCAGGGCCCTGTGGTAAGCCAAGGCCCCAGGGCTCAAGGCTGTGCAGGTGGTAAGGGAAGGTACATTGGGCAATGGGCTATGGAGAGAATGCCCAGGCCTGCCCCAGTCCCTCCCTCCCAGCCCACAGCCTCCTGTCTCTTGGCAGGTACAGCGTAGGGGGCACAGGTGACAGGGTAGGGGTGAGGCAGTTGCTTTTCTGCCATATACTGGCAGGTATCTGCTAGGTGGAAACCCTGTATGGGACAAAGTGAATCCAAGGACAAAAGGAGGGTCCCTGCCCAGCCAGTCCCCAGTAGGGACTGACTGGGCACCTGATTAAGGTTGGAAGGACTTGATGATACACACCAAGTATGGTGGTGTGATGGTGTCTGCATAACTGTAATTCCAGCATTCCAGAGGTGGGGGCAAGAGGATCAGAAGTTCAAGATGATCTTCACCTAAGGCCAGTCTGGGTTACGTGAGACCCTGCCTCAAAAACGGTGGGAGAGGAAAGAGGGAGGGGGAAAGGGGGGAGGGGAGAGGGAGAAGGAGGGGCAGGGGGTCTAGGCTCCTCAGGCATGTCCTCAGGGCTGGAACCACAGCTCACAGTCTATTCTGGGGCTGGAAGGAGGCAGGGAACTTTGACTACCCCTAAGACTCTTCTTTGGTAAAGTTTTCCCAAGGACCCCCATCCTTGCTAGAGATGTGCACATATCCACAAAACCCCAAAGGGGCCGTACTGTGCCTCCATCACCCGCCTGCCCACCAGGCGTTCATATGCTTGATTCAGAAGGAACAGGAGCAGGAACACATTTTAAGTCACTTCACATAGTCCTCCACTGTCTACCCAGTCAGGCTGCTGCAACCAAACACAGACCAAAAAAAGTCGGAGAGACTTGATGGTGGGAGAGGGCCTAGAGACTGGTCCTCCTCACCTCCTCAGCTTTCTGCAAGAGAATGGCCCAGAGACTGAGGCTCTGCTCCACACCTACCTACTGGGCTGGAGTTGGAATGCTCGGCCAGCTTGGATCCCAAGAGAGGGGACCCATGACTCCAGTGATAATGGCAGCCTCCAGGCCCTGAAAGAGGCTTGGGATCTTTTCCCAGGACCATTGAGAGGCTCCCAATTGCTTGAATCAGTTGAACCAACTCCCACAAGGGTGAAAAGCACTCACAGAACTAGACCCTTGGGCCTAAGAGCGTATTCTCCCTACTTGGAGTTAGGATATCAGGTATCTGGGGGAACTAGGCTAAGAGACAAATTCTCACTGAGCTGTTATACCTTTAAGCAACTCTCAACCTCCCTGAGCCTTATCGCTTCTGCCTCTAAGTATATCCCACCATAGAAGTCCTTTGGAAAAACAACGGCTTAGACTGGGCCATTACTTCCCATCAACCTTTGTCTCCTTTCCCTGCACTGGGAGCACTTTCTCAACCTGCCTTATCTCTCCCTGGCAGTGTGGGAGGGGAGATGGTTGTGCCGTGGGGCCTCACCTCCAGGTTGCTGCTGTGGTCCCCTGGGCAAGAGGATGATGTCAGTGCTCTGAGTCACTGTGTAGCTGGCCTGGTGGGGGTGGGAGTCAGGCTGTAAACACCAACATACCCCACCCACGAGACTGGCATTCAGGCATGCAACTCATTTACGTATTTACCAAGCATGCATGCTCTCCTATTTACCAGTCATGGTCAGGTTTTGCACTGGGAGAGACAGGCAGGTGCATACATAGCCCAGGCCCACTCTTGGGAGACACTGTTGCTTAGAAACAGCCTCCCTCCCCAGCTGGGCAGAGCAGCATGCACCCAGGCAGGGTCATGTAAGGCTTCCTTCAGTTCTTCCCACACTGTTGATGTTTTCAGGCATCAAGCTCAAACTTTCTTTTGAAGTCTCTCTCTCTCTCTCTCTCTCTCTCTCTCTCTCTCTCTCTGGTGTTTTTTTTTTTTTTTTTTTGACATGGTTTCTTATTGCCCTGGCTGGCCTTGAACTCCCTCTGCAGCCAAGGATGACCTAGAACTCTTGACCCTCCTGTCTCTATCTCCCAAGTGCTGGGATGACAGGGATACGGCACCACACTTGGTTTTTCTCTCTTAAAAGGAAAATCATACCTTTAAAATTAGTAGACCTTATAGAAGCAATCATAAACAGGGTAGAAATGAAGAAAATGAAAAGATTTATGAATCAGGCAGCTACAGCTTCAGATGCCTCCAGCTGATAGCAAGATCTGACAGCAGCCCTGGGAAACAGAAGCACGGTATAGAGACAACTTAATGGTTACAGTGTAAGTGATTAACTGACTGCTGAGCCTCCTACCATGGTTTAGTCCACTAGCAGTTAGTGATCAAGCTTGGTCCAAATCAATGGCCTCCCACAAATACTATAGAAGAAGCCCAGGGAAGAGCACCCCCCCCAGCTCCTGTTCCCACAGGGAAGAAAGCTGCCACCTGCTGCTGCTTGCGCCGCTGCCTACCAAGGGCCTCCAGCTCTGGGGACTGTCATCTGCCAGAGCCCCTCCCAACTAGCAGGAGGATTAGAGGCTGCAGCCACCAAAGGCATGGGGCCTTTAGACTCAATGTCAACTTGAGTCTAATACAGGACAGCCTGGTGCTGAACAGGACACAGGATAAGGTGCCTCCCCAGAGAAGTCAGACCTGCTGAACCAGCAAAAATCAATATTGTCATCAGAGCTTACAGTGTGACCCAGTGTGGCCTCAGCACCCTCCATGCGATGGCGCACTCAGGCTGTGCACCCCTTGCCTCCTTCCCACCTCAGAGCCGCTGTTCATTACCCTCTTACCTGAGGGTCGCTCTCTTGTCCTCTACTTCCAACCAAATTGATAAAAGATCAAAGGGGAAAGATTAAAGAGGGATTCTTTCTGGCTTCCAGTGTTCAGGCACATACTTTTTCCAGAAACTGCTCACTCATGCCACATCTCCTGTCTCTTCAGCTCTACAGGGCAGCCAGCACCTAATTGTCTCAGGACTGTCCCAGATTTATCATCAAAAGTCTCTTTAGACAAACCAGAACAGTTAACCACCTCTCTAGATGGTTGGTGGCCGCTTCCCAACAGCTTGCTGTTGCACGTCCCTGGCCTTTGGTCCTTGTTACTTACTCCCCTGGAAGTAATCCTTCCTATAAGGTCAGTTCAGCTCTCTCCAGATCCCATTTTCAGAAAATGGTTACCTACAACCTACTGCATGAACTGTACACAATGTATGCCCCAGGCAAAGTCATTAAGAAGTTCCTCATGGTACGCAGCAAGATGGCTCAGTGAGTAAAAGTACTTGCTACACAAATCTGACAATCTAAATTCAATCTCCAGTTCCTATGCCTTGGAAGGAAAGAACCGACTCCCAAAAATTGTCACCTGACCAATAATACACACAAACTCACCATAACACACAGGTACCCATACACACACACACACAATAATAATGATTAATAATAATAATAATAGATAAAATAAAATTTAAAAAGTTCCCCATTTAGCTGGTGTGATGGCTCAAGCCTGTAATCTCAGCACTCTGAAGGCTATGGCAAGTTGATTGCTAGTTTGAGGCCAGCCTGGGTTACGTAGTTCCAGGTCAGCCTAAGATACAAAGTAAAAGCCTATCTCAAAATTAATTATTTAATTAAAACAATTTAAAAGTCCAAGTGTGGTGACACACACCTTTAATCCTAGTACTTGGGAAGCAGAGGCAAGCAGATCTCTATCAGTTTGAGACCACTTTGGTCTATGTAGAGAGCTATAGGTTAGCCAGGAAAGAAAGAAAGAAAAAGAGAGAAAGAGAGAGAGAGAGAGGGAGGGAGGGAGCGAGGGAAGAAGGAGGGATGGAAGAAAAAGAAAAGCAAACCAAAAGAAGTCCCTCTTTGAGAGCATAGTGGAGACTCCAGTGGCCAGCACATTTCCTAAGCCAGCTTCTGTGATCAGCTTCTGTAATGTCTGTTTCCCCAGCTGTATGTAAAGTTGAACATGACATTCAAGACCCCACCTCCCAACGAAACACCCCCAGCTGATTCGGACTTGTGGATCTCTCCCCAACACCCCCACCAAAGTACATAAGAAGCTAAGTCCGTAGGCACTAAAGAAAACTGTCCCCTCATAGCACAGGGGGATGGAAAGTACCCTTCAAAAAAAGCCACTTGAAGCCGGGCGAGGTGGTGCACACCTTTAGTTCCAGCACTCGGGAGGCAGAGGCAGGCGGATCTCTGAGTTCAAGGCCAGCCTGGTCTACATAGTGAGTTCCAGGACAGCTGGGGCTACAGGGAGACCCTGTCTCAAAAAGACCAAAAAAAAAAACGAAGTCAATTGAATTTCCCTACCTGGTGTGATGTTTGGTGGTGAGGGGGTTTTGCTTGTTTGCTTGTTCGTTTGTTTGCTTGCTTATTTGTTTTGAGACAGGGTCTTACTGGGAAGCTCAGGCTGTCTGGAACTCACTAATGTAGCCTAGACAGGCCTTGAACTTGTGGCAGTCTTCCTGCCTCAACCTCCTAAATGTTGGGACTACAGACCAGCTACCACACTGGGTATGTGTCATTCTTGGTCTCTTCTTATGGATGAGGACATGAAGTACGTTATTGAGTCAAAGTAACACCACTGGGAATGGAAGAGCTTGGAGTGAAGCTCGAGTCCCCACATGGGACCGCCTTTTCACCAGCTCCTGTCTCCTGAACACGGGCAGGCATGGCTTCTTCCCGGATAACACGATGATGAGACCTATGGCAGCCCTTCCCCTAGTGCAGCAGCAGACCTAGGAGACACCCCCAGCCCAGGCCGTGGAGCTGGCAGCATAGCCAGGTAGCCTCTCCCCAGGCCCCAGGTCCAGAAAGGGAGCAGGGGAAGAAGAAACAAGGTGGCCCAGGCAGCACCCAGGGTGGGTGGGGAAGGCCGTCTTCCCAGTCCTTCCTAGCCCCAGCCCTGACTCCACACTCCTGGCTTCCCTCAGAGCTACCTGAAAGACAGTGAAGGAGGAGCTGTTTTCATACTCGTGTTCAGACAGGCTCAGGGATAAGCTAGGGGTAGGGGCATCGTTTCAGCCCCAAGTCCCCATGACAAGCCCAGACCAAGCTGAGCCAAGATCCCGTACCTGGGTACAGGGAAAAAGCCCTATCTAGGGATCCCAGGCTAACAGACACTGAGTCCCCCACCAAAACTAGGCACGGAACCCAAGACAGCGACAAGGCAGCTGGAATGTGCTGGGACAGGAAGGGTCCAGCATCTTCAGACATGGGACAATAGCAAAGGTTTCCAGAGGGGAGAATACTTTGGTGCAGGTCTGGGAAGGTGGAGTGGGGAGGAACCCAAGATTAGGACTAGAACTTGTTGAAGCAGACAGCCAGTGAAGGAACGAGCTGTCAGAGTCACCAGAGTATCAGTGTGCACTGGAATAGTGCGTTCAGGGATACACCAAGGGCCTGGAAGACTCCCTTGATAGGCTGACTAGAGTGCCTGGGGAGATGTCATAGAACACACTTGACACCATAGATGATCCACAAGTTGAGAGCGGGCTGGGGAGTGCACAGCCTTTGTTTTTCTGGTGAGAAGAACAAAGTGAACGTGGCGTTGACTGCTGGGAAGAGGGACAGAGAAACTGCCTGCCACAGGAAACCCTGGTCTCTGCCCTTCAGCTTCGCCTCGAAATGCTTTTGGAACCCATTTCAAGTATTACTACTGAGCATCTGAGCTAAATGGAGAGCTTGCTGGGGTGTTCCTATCCAGGAGTGCCAAGGCCGGGTCAAGGCTCCGGGGTAGTGGTGGGCGGCGTAGCAGGAAGCAAACATGCTGCCCTGGATGACGTTGAACCAGGGCACGCTGGAAGGGGACTGGAAGAAGGGTTAGGACACAAAGCAGCCTCCCACAAACCCCCATTCCCAACCCAGGGAATCTGAACTAATAGCAGGAAGCCAGCCTCTGGGTCTGGAGGCTGAGGGCTATGGGAAGGAAGATCTGGTTCACAGACAGGAGGGACTGTGCTGGAGATACCAGAAGTAGACAGGTCAGGAGAGACGTGGTACCCATTGCTTCCCAGAGGAGCCCCAGACCCGGCGCACAGCCTCAAGTGTGGTTTCCCCGAACACAACATGTGGGAGTATGAGGAGAACTGGAAGATAACAAGGGAACTGGTTGCTGTGACACCTCACAGGACCGCTGGAGAAGCAGGCCCAAAGAGAGGCGGGAGAAGACAGCGAAGCTCCTGGATTCCAATCTCCAGCCTCCAGTCAGCGGCCTCCCTCCCACTGAAGCACATTTGAACTAGGGATAGAATCTGGCCAAAGCTCAGCCAGGAGATTTTCCAAGCCAGCCTGAAGGCTGTGGACAAAGGAATGAAAACAGTCACTGGCTGGAAGACAGGCCTGTGCACCATGCCTTGAGCAGGCCACACACATACAAATGAGATGCAAATGAATATGCAGAGTCAACTGAACACTTGGAACAGCAGGCAGGCCAGACTTTATTGACTTTTTCCAATGCACTGGGGGCTGCCTTGGGCTTCAGGCAGTGAAGATGGGGGATGGGGTAGAAGCAGAGCCGATAGGCTCAAAAGGGAGGTGACTGCCAATCAGTGTATGATGGATGTCTTCCATCTTGATTCCTCCGTCTTCTTCAGGATGGTATGGCAGCAGGAGCCACAGCCAGAGCCAGAACTGAAGCCAGAGCCAGACACAGAGCAGGAACCCAAGCCGGAGCTGTTGTTCCCAGAACGCCAGGGGATGTTGAAGCCACCAGTCACAATGCTGGAGCAGCCAGACTCAAACCTGCCTCTCCTGCCACCAAATCCACAAGTATTCATTTGACCTCCACCGGCTCCCCCAGGGATGACTTGGCCACCACCAGCTCCTCCAGGCATGGTTATTTGCCCACCACAAACTCCTCCAGACATGGTTATTTGACCACCACCAACTCCTCCAGGCATGGTTATTTGTTCACCACAAACTCCTCCAGGCCTGACTATTTGACCACCAACTCCTCCAGGCATGGTTATTTGACCACCACCAACTCCTCCAGGCATGGTTATTTGACCACCACAAACTCCTCCAGGCCCAGTTATTTGACCACCACCAACTCCTCCAGGCCTGGCTATTTGACCACCACCAACTCCTCCAGGCCCAGTTATTTGGCCACCACAAACACCTCCAGGTCTGGCTATTTGACCACCACCAACTCCTCCAGGCCTGACTATTTGACCACCAACTCCTCCAGGCATGGTTATTTGACAACCACCAACTCCTCCAGGCATGGTTATTTGTTCACCACCAACTCCTCCAGGCCTGACTATTTGACCACCAACTCCTCCAGGCCTGGCTATTTGACCACCACCAACTCCTCCAGGCATGGCTATTTGACCACCACCAACTCCTACAGGCCTGGCTATTTGACCACCACCAACTCCTACAGGCCTGACTATTTGACCACCAACTCCTCCAGGCATGGTTATTTGACCACCACCAACTCCTCCAGGCCTGGCTATTTGACCACCACCAACTCCTCCAGGCCCAGTTATTTGGCCACCACAAACACCTCCAGGTCTGGCTATTTGACAACCACCAACTCCTCCAGGCATGGTTGTTTGACCACCACACACTCCTCCAGGCCTGGTTATTTGGCCACCACCAACTCCTCCAGGCCTGGCTATTTGACCACCACCAACTCCTCCAGGCATGGTTGTTTGACCACCACAAACTCCTCCAGGCCTGGTTATTTGGCCACCACCAACTCCTCCAGGCATAGTTATTTGACCACCACTAACTTCTCCAGGCCTGGTTATTTGATCACCACAAACTCCTTCAGGTATAGTTATTTGACCACCACCAACTCCTCCAGGACTGGCTATTTGACCACCACCAACTCCTCCAGGCATGGTTATTTGACCACCACAAACTCCTCCAGGCCTGGTTATTTGACCACCACCAACTCCTCCAGGCATGGTTATTTGGCCACCACCAACTCCTCCAGGCCTGGTTATTTGACCACCACAAACTCCTCCAGGCCTGGTTATTTGGCCACCACCAACTCCTCCAGGCAGGACCACTTGGCCACCACAAACTCTTCTGGGCATGATCACTTGGCCACCACAAACTCCTCCAGTTGTGCCTCCCATTGTGGCTGCCAAGAAATGCACCAGGGTCACAGCAGGGTCCTCAGCACCACATGGGGACCCCGCTCTGAAAGTCCCCCCATACTCACAGACAGTAACCTGGCTGGTGTACTCCCCAGATATCCTGGGGGAGGAAAGACAAGAAGAAAAATGCTGCCCTCTCAGCACACAAAAGCTATAGTCCCCAGCTTAAACTCCCCCCAGCAGAGCTGGTTGCCTTTATGACAGTGTCAGGAAATCTCTCTGAATCTACTTTAGCAAGGAGAGTCCTTCCATCTTCTTCTGTCCCACCCAGCCACATACCCCCAAGTCCCTCCAGGCCCCACCTGCACTCCTCGCCCTCCAGCAGCCTGCGGTAGGTGGCGATCTCCACGTCCAGGGACAGCTTTGTGCCCATCAGTTCCTGGTACTCTCGCAACATTCGGGCCATGTCCTGCTTGGCTGTTCTCAGAGCATCCTCCAGCTCATCAAGCTTGGCTTGGGCATCCTTCAGCGCCATCTCCCCATGCTGTTCAGCATCAGAAATGGCTGACTGCAGGCTGGCATTCTGGAGGACGGTAGAAATGAGGGAGAAAATTACTGTGAGCCCAAAGCACTTAGCATGGATATAATTTAAAGGTCCAGGTAGACCCTAATCTCATGAGCTCCAAATTGCACATGACCAACCCACACCTGGCTCCTCTCATTCTACGGGAAAATCTTTCCTTACAGCTCCCTTGCCTCCTACAGAGTTGAAATGGGTCCCCCAAAGTTTTTGCATCCACCAGAACCTCAGAATGCGGTCTTATTTGGAAGCAAGTTCTCTACTGGCATACTTGGTTAAGAATCTAGCACACTGTACTTAATGTTAGTCCTAAATCCAGTCACTGGACACAGAGAAGCCATGTGTGAAGACAAAAGCAGACATCTAGGTTTCCAGACAACCTAGGGCACTAACCCACTCCCATAAAACCTTCCCAATACTTCTTTCCTGTTTCTTCCTACCTCCAGCCCCGACACCTCACAGGAATCTCTTCCCAGAAACCTAAAGCATCTCCTGCCTTGTGTGGCTCCTTATCCATACACCTTATCTTGCTAGTCACCACGGTCCTTAACCCTTTCAGGAAAGTCCTGTTAGGATTGCTTTATCCTCTTGTCAGAGTTTCTTGAGCCTGTGCCTCAATTTTTTGTTAAGACAGTCTCTGTGCCTCCTCTCAGCTCCCTCTGATCAGCCTGTGGGTGGTTCAGCTTCACCTCAGGTTCAGAAAGGAAGGAATTCCTAAAGGCCGTCTCTGCTCCGTCCCCACACAAACATTCTGAAGTAGGAACATCATCTCTCCTTCAGAGGTGAATCTCAGAAAGGTGACGGGTGGCTGATCCAGCACACTAGGGTAGTATGAGAAGCCCAGTCACTCAGGCCCGTGAAGGAAAAGGGAAGGCCTCTCCAGGAAAAGCATGTGTCATACGTGAGGGGACACTCTTCAGGGCTGACCCTAGTATATTTATTTAAAAAGTAAAATTAATGCGGCTCTCATCTCTCAACAGAGAAGGTTCACCTTGCAGCAGATGGTGATTAACACAGAGACCCACAACTGGTCAATGTGCAGAGAACAAGAGACTGCAGAGCGCTCAGCCACAAATGCAGCACCTATGTCACATCCTCGCCTCCCAAGGCTTGGGAATTTCCGTGGGAGAAGGGACAGAAAGATTGTAAGAGCCAGAGGTGGTACATGAAAACGAGGAAGCTGTGTCGTCTGGACACCACGGGGAAATTGCACATATGAACCCACAGCGCTTGTAGCAACATGTGAAAATACCTGTGCAAACCCAAATCAGACAAAAACCCAGCATGGACGGGGAGGCTGACACATAGCCCCAGCCTAGGATAGCTACTGGGAGAGGGAGGGTCAGTTACCCGTACCGGCATGTCACCTGGTAGGTTGGCCAGCTTCAAGGGACAGACTCCCACCCAAGAACATGTCAGAAATACAGACTGGATAAATAATAGTAAAGGCCATGAAGTCAGGGGAGGGTAGTAAGGTAGGGGTGGAGGAGGTCTGAATATTATCCAAACACATTGCATGAAATTCTGAATTCAATAAAAATTTCTAAACCTATATTCCACTAAATTGGAAAACCTTTTTTTTTTTCCTTTTTTTTTTTGGTCTTTTTGAAACAGAGTCTCCCTGTAGCCCCAGCTGGCCTGGAACTCACTATGTAGACCTGGCCTTGAACTCACAGAGAGTCACCTGCCTCTGCCTCCCAAGTGCTAGGACTACAGGCGTGTGCCACCACACCCAGCAGAAAATCTTTTTTAAAAAAGCAAGTTTCAACATAGTATGGCAGCACATTGCTTTAATTTCAACACTCAGGAAGCAAAGGCAAATGGATTTCTGTGAGTCCTCTGGGGCTACATAGTGAGACCCTGTCTCAAAAAGAAAGGAAAAAAGGAAGGAAGGAACAAAGGAAAGAGGGAGGGGGGAGGGAGGAAGGAAGGAAGGAGAAGGAAGGGGAGGAAGGAAGGAAGGGGAGGAAGGAAGGAAGGGGAGGAAGGAAGGAAGGGGAGGAAGGAAGGAAGGGGAGGAAGGAAGGAAGGGGAGGAAGGAAGGAAGGGGAGGAAGGAAGGAAGGGGAGGAAGGAAGGAAGGGGAGGAAGGAAGGAAGGGGAGGAAGGAAGGAAGGGGAGGAAGGAAGGAAGGAAGGGAGGGAGGAAGGAAGGGAAGGAAGGAAGGAAGGAAGGAAGGAAGAAGGGAGGGAGGGAGGAAGGAAGGAAGGAAGAAGGGAGGGAGGGAGGGAGGGAGGGACGGAGGGAAGGAAGGAAGGAAGGAAGAGAAAAAGCAGGTTTCAGGGACTGGAGAGAGCGCTGAGGGGCTAGGAGTACTTGCTAGAGTTCAGATCCCAGCACTCAGATAACAAGCCAGCATCCTGCATACACTCTCACACATAAGTAAATAAACAGATTTCTGAGTTGTGTATGGCAGCACACACCTGTAATCTCAACACTTGGGAGGCTAAGTCAGGAGGGTCACCAGTTCCAAGCCAGCTTGGGCTACTCAGTGAGACCCTACCTCAAAGAAACAAAAATAAAACAAAACCAAAGAGCAAGCTTCTGAGTTCAGTGATTCCCAGGTCTGAAAGGAGGTCCAGAAATCAGCATCATAAAGATACCCTGAAGGATTTCATAGTTGGAATCCAAACCCACAGGAAAACACTGAGGCCCCAAGTTGAGTGTGAGACTGCACCATTCATCTTCCATGCTGTGTCTCATTCCAGAGAGTGGAACAGATGGCTTGGGATGAAGGGAATGACTTCCCGAAAGTGCCCTGCTGGGAGGTGGACCAGGGGATGCGGCTGCAGTGTCTAGGAAGCCCACTGGCCATGGTCTCCACTTACCATCCTCTGTGAATCTCAAATCCAGTCTTGGGCTTTGTTTGAGGAATGTGAACACAGACTTGGGAGCTAATGTGTCACCATGCTTCTCATCTGGGAAGGCGCTCTCTAGAGGGGTAGAGCACCTCCAACCTGCTCCATCTGCATGAGCATCTCCTGAAGAGGAGCCACCAGAGGCCCAACCCCTTATCTTTCTTTTCTCTCTCACTTGCCCGGATAGAGGACCAAAGAAATTCAGTGTTTGACCTTAAGTTCCTACTCTGTTTGTGGAGGAAGAGTCAAAGGGAGAGATAAGGAGATAAATTAACCCTCTCCTCATAGAAGCAAAAGTAAGATGCCCACCTGGGTGTGGACTGTAAGGGACACTCCCCCTGAGGTTGTGTTTTCTGGGGCTCTGCCCCAGAAAAGTCAACATGCAGGCTGGAATTCACAGGGTACAGGCCAAAGTCAACCCTGAAGGGGCATGAGGATCTGTCTCCACATAATCACAAATAATCCAGAACCCCAGAAGGTTATCCAAGTTTCCCTTCATGCTCCCAGACAAGCCCAACTTGGAAAAGAAAACATGAGCTGTGGAGGATCAGGGCCAAGCGGCACGTGAAATAGCTGCAGGTGTTGAGAGCCTACCTGTCCCTTGAGGCTGGAAATCTGACTCTGTAGCCTCTGCATCACCTGCTGCAGCTCAGAAATCTGTCTCTGGGCTTCTTTCATTCCATCCCCATGAAGCTGGACTGATGACTGAAGCTCCTGGTACTGAGGGCACAGAGGTGACACCACTGGGTTAGTGGGCAGCTGTCTCTGACCCCGGCACCAAGAACGCACCGCCTACCACCGTGGGAGGTGCCTCCTAATATCTGCATTTTCCCAGGATGGGTCAAATGCTTGAGCCCAGAACATGGTGAACCTGCTGTAGAAGTCCAAACCTCTTTCCCAGTTTCTTCCCTTCTGGAGAGGGGACATAGCCCTGCCACACCAGCCCCAAACCTCAAGAAGGTTAATGGAGCTGCCCCAACGGGACCAGTAGGGATGACATCCCTGGGATGTGGATGTGCCCACTGAACCGTCCCCAGCTTCATGCTGCTCTGAGCCACAGTACCTTGGTCTGGAACAGGGCTTTGGCTTCGGCCTTGCTAGTCTGTGCAATCTCCTCATACCGGGCACGGACCTCAGCGATGATGGCACTGAAGTCCAGGCAACGGTTGTTATCCATGGACAGCACCACAGACATGTCATCTGCCTGAGTCTGCAGCTGGCCCAGCTCCTATGGGAGAGACAGAGTTGGTGTCTACCGCCCCAGCTTCCTGTTTCTTGTACCCCAGTTGGGAATGGGATGCTTCAGTATCTGTCCACTTGCCGACCACCCACCAGTGGCCCAAATTCGCACGAATGTGTTGAGTACCGTTCTCAAGAGCAATCTCCTTGTCTGAAAGTAAGGGAGGTTGAAGTGGTCTCCAATGACTCTTACAGTGTACACAGTAAAGGAAAATGGCCCACAAGGCCCCAAATCGCTTGTCCCTATCACCCTCCCAGCCTTCATCACACTTTCCTCCAAACACTCCTCCTGCCCCAGACACGTTGGCCTCTGCGCAAACTCTCAAAGATGCCAGCTCTCTCTGGCTGGGGACACAAACTCTTCCCAGAATCCCAGAAACCACCTGCCCCGAGAGCTCCTTGCCACCTCCACATCTTCACCCTGGTTTTATCTTCTACATAAAGCCTATTGGAACTTGCCCCCACCCACATTCCCATCCCTCTTTCCCTTGGTCTCCATAGTATCTATCACCTTCTAACAAAGTATAGAACTTGTATATATCTTTCTAACAGAAAGACAGCATTGAGGGTTTTGTCTGCTTATTCATTGATGAATCCCCACAGTAAATGCTCAGTAACTGGTTGTCAAACGACTGAACGACCACAAGCCAAAGCCACTCTAACAGGCTTCCCCTCCTGGTCATTCCCCCTCACAGCCACAGGGAACCTCCCCACCCTCTCCCTGTTATCCCTCCCACCTATCCTTGGCAGGGCCTTACCTCTTCATACAGACGTTTCAAGAAGCAGACGTATTCTCTCAGAGACTCCAACTTGCCACCCAAATCCATCTTGCTCAGAAAAACTTCATCCACATCCTGGGACAGAAAGACAGGAGTCATGTATGCCTCACTCCTCTCAGAAGACCTATATACCCACTGCACAACACCCACATCACTGACTCGAGACCCTGTTTGTCTTCCCAACCGTGCCCTGCACAGCCTGCAGGATGTCTTCCCTCATTAATCCCACACCACCATGCTGCTTCCTCTCCCTCCTACTCCACAGTTGACCCCAGGGCTCATCAAGTAGCGCCTCAGTCAAATCTTGTCTTAGAGTTCCTGTGTCTAGGTAAATGTCTCATTCTGGCGGAAGGTGACAGCACACAGTGAAGTGTCCTCAGTCCATATCTCTGCCCTCTTTCCCCCAAGCCAGGACCAGGCACAGTGGGGACTTTCTGAGTGGAGCACTTGAGCCTCTCCCACCTTCTTAAGGACCACAAGGTCATTCTGCACCGTGGCATACTTGTGGGCCTCTTGCTCATACCTGCAAATGGGTACAAAAGGACTGTCAGGCACTGGGTCAGAGCCTCCAGCCTACCCCAGCATGCCACAACCCCACCCACATCCTCCTTGAGATGGTCTTGCCTTCAGAGGTCCCCCAACTCAGAAGCCACCACCAACCAACCCTTTTCTCATTTCCTGTCAGGAGGTTTGTCACACCCTAGCTACACCCCTGTGCCAGCTCTCAGCCTGTGTCCCCTAGGACAAGGGGCCACATGTCTTCATGGTTTTCCAGGCACTCAGATGCCACCATCTGTAACAGGCAGTGTGGGTTTCATCAGGGGAATAGGACTCTCCCCAGCAGACCCAAAACCCAGAACAACTCCTCTCCACACTCCCTGTTCCACTCATAGTGGCTCTGGAAACCAGAAGTAGACGACACTTTCCATCTGTAGCAGTGGAAACCAAGGCTAGAGCGCTGTCCGTATCTCCGACCCTCACCACCCCTCAGCCCAGAGCTGTCTGCACCACCAGGCAGCCTACGTGGAGAACCTAGAACCACAGTCGTGCTGTGAATCACACCATGGGCCTGGAGACAGGTACACAAAACTGCCTTCTACCTGAGACCAGAGGACATCTGAGTCACTTTAACCCATAGCCTGTTAAACAGGAATTTCTCGAGAAAGCCATCACAGTGTTGTTTAAATAAGCCTTTCCCAATCCTGACCACACACATGGGCCCTCGTGGCTGGGTCCCAGCCCTTCAATAAAGGACCCCAATCTTCCTTCCCAAGGCACTCCAGGCCTGGGTGGGGCTGGGGGTCTCCTCTACCTGCTGCAAGTGAATGATCCTGTGAGTCAGGAGAGGGGACACCATGGGATAGAGTGAAGGCTGGTTATGCAGCTCTGGGTGCTAGGCATGCAGGAGACCCTCAACTGGCAGATCATGCTGCACCCGCCCGAGCTCCACACAGAAAATGGCCTACTTGGCCTTGTACTCTTCCTCCTGGTCCTGGTAGGTCTTCAGCTCAGTGTCCAGAGCCCTTCGCTCTCTCTGTAGCTGCTCCAGCTGCTGCCTTAGCCGGGCCAGGCAGGTTTCAAAGATGGGTTCTGGGCCCTGCGGGCTGGGGCTCCCCTGCAGCTGCTGCAGCAGCTCCCACTTGGTCTCCAGGACCTTGTTCTGCTGCTCCAAGAAGCGGACCTGCAGCCAGGCACAAAGTTCCTGAGGCTCCTGGAGCTGGCTCCCCAGGCACAGCCTCTGGAGAGAGAAGCTCCGTGGGCCCTCTTTGAGCCCTTTTCTCTTGCCTTCTATTCCTGCCTGTGCAGGGAAACCTCCAGGCCTTCCATAAGAAACTGAACACATCCATGATTGGCTGGAGTAACAGAGGTGGAACTTCCCACCACCAACTAGCTGTTCTCTGTCCCTGAACCTCAGCCACAGAGCAGCACAGCCTCAGCACAACCAAAGAGACTCTGGTTAGAACTTGGGAGGTTTTCCTTGCCCAAAGAGATTAAGAAGGCAGCAGAAGAAGGTCAGATTTCCCCATCCCAGTCTGTCAAGAGCAGCTCCCTGAGTGAGGCCCAGAGGCAGGACTAGGCTGACTTGGCCCTCACCTTGTCAATGAAGGATGCAAACTGGTTGTTGAGGGTTCTGATCTCTCGAGTCTCCTGCGTCTTCACCACCTGGAACTGGGGGTCAATCTCAATCTTCAGTGGGGTCAGCAGACTCTGGTCAACAGTCACTTCTTGGATGCCCCCCGGAGGGCACTGGGAAAGCCCAAGCCCTCCACTCCCCTGTCCACACCTCACCCCCTGCCTGCCCCTCACCCCCCAGGCCCTCCCACAAGAGCTTCCTCTGCAACCTCTGGAGGAACTGAGGCTCCTGCTGCTGAAGCTGGCCCTGCCACGGACCCCTGAGAAAGCAGAACATGCTGAGCGAGCGCTGAAGCCCCTCTGGGCCCGGCATGGGGAGAGAGACATGGCAGAGACAGGCAGGCCCACAGCTGCAGACAGACTGAGGATGGTCACGGAGTGTGTGCTTCTGCCCTGGGGCCCTAGCACGAGACTTTTAAGCCCTCCCGTCCCTGGGCTGGGCCTTGGAGAGCAAGATGCTCTCAATCTGACTGTGTCTGCCACTTGCTGCGGCTGACCTGTTCTGACACACTTGAGGAACAGGTATGTGGCACGTGCAGAGCCTGAGGTAGAAGTCCCAGATTCTGCCCTGAGAGCCTGCTTCAAAGACAAGGAAATAGTTGGGGATCTGGACCATGGTCCTAGGCAATGGGTGACTTCACTGGGGGTATTCAATAAAGGTTTCCTGGAGAAGGGAGGAGAGACCAGGCACAGAGAGGAGAGGAAGGCGGAGGGATGCAGCAGAGGCACCAGGCGCCTCACAGAGGCAGGGGAGGCCCCAAGCAGCTCTGAGGAGCCAGGAGGCTAGCAGAGGTGGTGCTGCAAACCACTCCACGATGTGGAAATGACACAGAAAATCAGGGCACCCAGTCCCTCCTCTGGCCCAACCCAGCAATCATCCACAAGACACCATCTGCCCTGCACCAAGCAGGTATCTCTAGTCAAGATCTGTAGAGCAGCAGCCAATCTAGTGGGGCTGCCCCTCCCCACATGCTGCCCCAGGCCCCTCCATCTAGGATGAGCTGAAACCTCTCCAGTGAATAAATCAGAGGTACCCATTCCAGAATATAGTGTACATTTAGAAAAATACTCCTGGGAGCCTAGCAGTAAAAACAGAGAACCTGAGATTCCTGCCCCCCTCCCGGGTGGACTCTGTCTCCTGAAAGCCCAGCAGGTAAAGGAGCACTCTAGGGGCTACCCTGCGGAGGAAAGCATCCCGCGGATAATTGAAACTGCCCCCTGGGGCCTGCTGAGCCACTGGACTCTGATTTTTGGGGACTGCTGTAACTTCCTTATGGGGTATGATGGAAAGGCTATGGCCTATCCAGCTCTCCTAGTGCCTGGTGCATTCAGAAAGTGGTGCATTTGGGGGTCTTGGAGGATGTAACTGCAAACATGTACAGATAGAAACTCAATGCACTTGACACTCAAGAGAGATGCTATGAGGAAGTCAGGCTTGGCAATTAGCACTCCACCCAGGCCAGACAACCCTGCGCAAGCATGTCTCTGCTCCCTCCAGAGAAATGCATACCCTTTCTTCCTTCCCCCAGCCATTGGCAGCATCTCAAGGGGCATGGAGAAGAGACAGTGCATTTGGAAAGGCAGAGAGGTAGCAAAGGTTCAAAGCATGAGGCTCCAGGGAAGGCAGAGAAAAGAACAGAACCAGGAGAAAGTTCCATGCACTGGAAGAAGGGGAGGCTCATGGAAAGAGCTAGAAATGTCTCAGATTCCACTGAAGACTCAGCTCTAAAACACTGCCTGGGCCACTTCATAAAAGAAAGCTTGTGGTCCTCCTGCCTGCCACTTCAGTGGACCCTTCTTAAATACATCCCTGGGGTCCACAGGGATTGATCTCCACCCTCTGTGTTGAGGGAGGACAGAAGTCCCACCTAGCATGGGATCAAATCCATCTCTGGGAAGCTTCCCTTACTTGTAATGTTATAGAACACAAAAGCCACAGGAAGCTTTGTAGTCGTAGGATTCCAACATCTTTGTTTTGCACTTGAGCGATCTGAGGCTCCTGAGGATGTGGGGCAGGTGTAGAGACAGACAGTGCTCTCTTAGGTAACGTAAGACTGTACTGACTGACCTCTCAGTCTGCTCTGGGCTTCACTCAGGATTCTGAGGTACTTGCCCAACAATGCCATTCACCTACACAGTGCCCAGGGTGGAGCCAGCACCCCCCTGACCTGTTCACTCCACAGTCCCTCAGAACTGCCCAAAGGAGCTTCGTCCTCTGCCTCACAAGGCCAATCAAACCCTCAAGGATCCTACTGCTCCACATGTCTGCCACGCCCCCTCAGCTCAGTGTCTAGCATTTACTGAGCATTTAGTAATTGTTCAAAGAAATGGACTTTGTGTGTGTGATATTAGAAACTCAGCCTAGGGCTTCATGCATGCTGGCACGCATGCGGTCTCTAAGCTACAGCCTCACTCCTCTTTTTAGTTTTTTAGATTTTATTTATTAATTTTTTTATTTTATGTACATAAGAGTAATGCCTGCATATGTACAAGTGCGCATACCGTGCAATGCCCATGGAAGTCAGAAGAGAGCATTGGATCCCCCTGGAGCTGGAGTTACAGACAGTTCTTATGAGTGCTTTGCCAGCATGTACGTTCACCCATATCATGCAGTAGAGGTCAGAAGAAGACTTGGATCCCCTGGAATTGGAGTTGTGAACAGTTGTTAGCTTCCGTGTGGTGCTGGGAACCAACCTTGGGTCCTCTGCAAGAGCAGCCAGTACTTTTAGCCACAGAGCCATCTTTCCAACCCCTCTTTCTTACTTTTTGAGACAGGGTCTCAGGCATAAATGTTTTGAGATAGAAACTCATTGCCTAAGCTGGCCTTGAACGTGCAATCCTCCTACCACAACCTCTAGAGTAGCCTGGATTATAGGCCTATACCACCCAGTCTGGCAAATTTTGATTCCTGTCAATCACATCAGGTACCTTCTAAAATTCCCCAGTTATAAATGCTGCTGAGGCAAATACTTCTCCTGTGTGAAATCATTTAAAAGACACGCAAGCACGGTGAGATGGCTCAGCAAGTAAAGGCACTTGCTACCAAGTCTGACCATCTGAGTTCAGTCCCCCAGGATCCACACAGTTAGGAGAGAGCCAGCTCCTGAAAGTTGTCTTTTGACCTCTACATGTGTGTCATGGCACACATGTGCCCAGACACACGCACGCACGCACGCACACACACGTGCACACACAATTAATTAATTGATTATAAATAAATAATAAATAAGTAAATGTAATTTGGGCTGGTGAGATGGCTTAGCCAGTAAAGACATTTGTCAACAAGCCTCAAAACCTGAGTCCAATTCCTGAGACCCATGTGATGGAAGGAGAGAACTGACTCCCACAAGTTGTCCTCCTGCCTCCACAAGTGTGCTGTGAGCACATACACACATAACTGTTTAACTTTTAATATTTTATTTATTCATTGATTTATTCATTTTTATTTTTATGTGTATGAGTGTATTGTCTGCATGTAAATGCACCCATGTTGTGCAATGCCTGAGGAGGTCAGAAAAGGGAGTCCGATCCCCTGGAACTGGAGTTACAGACAGTTGTTTACCACCATGTGGGTTCTGGGAATCGAACCTGGGTCCTCTGCAAGAGCCATCTCTCCAACCTGTAACTGTTTAACTTAAAAAAAAAAAAGTACCAGGGATGGACAGAAATCCTGCCTCCAAAAAAGTCATGAAAGTAGGAAGAAAAACTAGGAGGGAAAAGCAAAGAGATTCGTAGGAAGGGAAGCGAACAAGGGAGGGTAATGGGAAAGTGGAAATGATCAAAATACATTATATATGTGTATGAAGTTGTCAGGGGGTGGGGGAGACCAGACATTTGGAGATGGAAGGCAGCCCCTCTCCAGCGGAGTGCTGTGTCCCATACACAGGTGCAGGGTAGGCTGCTGGGTCCCCAGCAGCAAAATGGAAACTGGCAGGAATCATCAAACGGTGCCTTAATGCTCAGCTGAGCCCAGCAGTGTGGACATGCCAGAGTTAATGATATCTTTCTATGTCTCCCTTATGACCTCCAGGTCAACCATCTGGTGGGGGGTGGGGAGGGGGTGTTGGTTAGTTTGCTGTTGGGGATTTTTTTTTTCTTTTTTTTCCCAAATGCCATGTATTCATTCAGCGAACATGGCTGAGCACCTACTGTGTACCAAGTCGTGTGCTAAATTGGAAATTTAGCTGAGACCAAGGCTCAGCCCCAACACCAAAAAATCTTAGAATCTGGTGGAGAAAAAGACACTAAACAGGCAATTAGACAAGTCTTTAACTATAGTTATGATAAAGGGAGGAAAGAATGGGGCAAGGAAAAGGTTTAGGCCAGTTCATCCCCTAATTTATTCTGGAACATGCCAGGAACGTACCACTTCAGGGCCTTTGCACTTGCTGACCTAAACCCAAAGGGCAGCACTGTGGCCCTCCATCCTGTACCACTTCCTGTGCCCTCCCTGCTCCATTCCTTCTGCTCAGTGCCAACCCCATCCTACTGTGCCCAGTGTCAGACTGACTCATTCTGTTTGTCAGCCTTTCTGCACGTGGCCCTGTGCTCCACAGTGGCAGGAATTTGTCTCTGGCTCACTCCTGTCCTCTGTGCTTAGAACAGAGCCTGGCATCTAGCAGGGGCTCAGTAAACATTGAATGACCGGAAGAATCCCCACCCAGTCTCATTTTGTGGCTTGCTGCCATCTTTCAGAGACTACCCAACCTATGGATCTCAACACTCTTCTCTGAGGCACTAGCCACCTCTCCTCAATCCTGCCAGCCCTCCAGAGCTGAGAAGCATCCCGCACTTGAGAAACATGTTTGTATGTCTGTGTGTGTGTGTGTGTGTGTGTGTGTGTATTACACAACATCAACTCTGGCTGAATACTGAGTTAAGTGATACAGGAGATGTGAGAAGTATAAGGCCCCTTTCCACCTGGAAAAGACTATCTAGATCCTTCATGAACACAGAACATCAAGAGTGTGGCGGACCCAGGAAGAACAGCCTTTGTTGTGCTTTGGGGTGTAGTTAGGAAGACTCCTCTTTTTGACTTTTCTCCAATACCACAGCCTTGGAGAAAAGTGAGGACAGAGCCCTGTGGCACATCACAAGAAACTCTCCCTCTGGCTCAGGAAATCCACCCAGCCGTGCTTTTTTTCAACCCCATCTTCCTAACTTGTCTGGAAGGACATTAGACCGTGTGTCAGTGTCTCACAGAAATCCAGGGAGCCTTTGCCTGAGCTACAGTAATTGTCGGTATATTGGTTCTCTCCTTCCTGACTGTGGACCAGCCACCTCACCCCTGCCGCCATGCCTTCCCCACCATGATGGACTGTGCCCCCTTGAACTTATTGGACAAGACTTCATTCTATAAAACAGAATGACTCTTCCAAAGTCTT